TAGAGCATCAGTAAAGTGGCTTTTGACAAAAAAGAGGTTTTTGGGGGTTTTTTTAACTTTTGCTATCCTAAATAATTTCAGCTTTTACCTTTTAAGAGAAAATGGAGTTTCAAACTTTCAAATCATTAGGAATCAGGATTATTCAAAGTCATTCGGACAACTTTTTTTTTTTTAAATAGTCAAAAAAAAAAATGAAGAGTATCATTGTCAGTGAATGTAATTGGTAGGCATAGGGAGATATTTTCAACAGTTTCATGTTCAACAAAATGTTACACTTAACACTTGCCACTGACAGCTGTACCCATGTCAAAATCAAAATGATTAAAAAACGCACTATATTCATCTTAAATGTAGAAATACAGCTTTGTGAAATGAATAATCAAGCTAATGCAATTATTCATTAGAAAGAATAAAGTCATATAGCAAAATCTATTTTTGAACAATTAGAATATTTTAATCTATTCACAAGAGAAAAATTATGAAAAGTCAGAACAAAATAAAACTGCTTAGACCACTAATCAATTCAATTATGATAACAGAAGTGTTTTAGAAATTAATAGTTAAAAAACAAACAAACTTAAAATTAAGCTAATAGAAATGTTTTTTAATTTTTAGTTATTACAAAATACAATATTTCATAGAGGAATGAAATACCATATGGTACTCTGTTAAGGATGGAAACAGCTGTCAACCATCACCATACCTTCAAGCTGGAGACCCATATCAAGATAATCAAGTAAAAATACTCGGAGTTAACAGTTGAGCTGAAAACAGTGAAAGTTGCAGATAAATAAAATCAGCTGAAAATACAACACAACAGAACCAGGTGTTTAATTTGAGTAAATAAGTTTCGCTTTGACACCTGATAAATAAAAACTAAAAAGAATTATCACCAAATAAAAATGTGGACATGTGGAAGAGAGATTGCACAAGCTGGCATTTAAATGACAAAAGTGTCAAATATTTATTTGAATTGTTGAAAAAAATAAAACTGATAAATATTCAATATTTAAATGCTATCGCCAGACAGGTGTTTGACAAAGACCAAAAATGTAGTTTATACGAGAAAAAAAAATCGTGGTTTTTGCATAAGGATTAAAAAGGAAAGAAAATGTACATGTACAAATTACTACTTCAATTGGAGAAATGAGAAAAAGAACAATTCTAAGAAAAAAAAAGGCCTTAGCATGATGACAATTGTTGTAGGCGGTATACTGTAAGTAGGTTAGGTATGATGATGATACTGCACTGATTGGGATGAAGAGAAAGAGGATGTGGCGACGGAGTTATCAGGTGGGGAGAGAGGTGAGCTGCTAACAACGTGCTGGTACTTCGAGAACCATGATGTTGCCGATACTACTCATGCTACTGCTAGCACGGACAGCAGGGAGCCTGCTACAGAAGGAGAAGGTAAAATTGTGCCCCACGCCTTCGCAAGAAAACAGAGAGGGGGAGACAGGAGATGAAGAAATCTAGAAAAAAAAGTGAAAGAAAAAGAAAAAAAGAACAGTTGTAGATGATAAGGAAGGGCAATGCGCTAAAAATGACAATGTTGTTGTTGTTGTAAGTAGTATTAGTAGTAGTAGTTGATAGGGTAGAGGTTGGATAAGGTAAGAAGGTTACAACTACTACACCAACATCAACCAGACCTCCAAACAAAGCAGATGTCGCAAATAAAAGTAGACAATCCATGAAATGTTCTGATAGCTTAATGCCACTACCACCACCAGCTCAACAGTTAAGCCATTTAGACAATTATTTAAAAGAAAAGCAAATATATGAGAGAGTTTTGAGTCGCCCCCAGCCGGATTGTGCCCTCATACATCTTTTATGGCACATGCAGTTAAGCAGGGTGACAAGAGGTGGAGAACACATACTCACTCACACACTACTACTCACCACTCACTAACGATATCATATATATATATATATATATATATATATATAAATGTGACGGTTATGAATTAGGATATTTAGTGTTCTAGTTCTATTTATTAGAGACAGGTAGGTGGATGGTTTTAGTTGTTGTTGACTCGCTTCACAATGATCCATTTTATTCACGCACAACATTCAAACCGTAGAACAAAATAAGAAACTACTACGAAAGCAACAGCAATAAAAAGTAATAAACACACCAGGTGAATGGCAGGAGTACACAAAGCAGCGGTGGCGGGTTCAGTAAGACTGTAAGAAGAAACAACAACCTTTTTCCGTATCATTATTGTTAGTGTTAAACAGCGCAGAAGCTAGTAGGTAGTGTCTATAAAACTGAAAAATTTAAATGACAGCTCACAGCAAAATCATGCATCAATACTTTAAAAAAATAAATAAAAATAAAACAGATACCAATTGTTCTGTTTCTTTTTTTTTTACCATAGGGTAGTGACTAAAAATCTTACTCTTGACAACAATGACACTTCAAAACAGATGGACTACGAAATTCCGCAATGGAATTCCTAGCTAGAAAATACGATTATTTACAGCCGCCCGGCCATTTCAAAAAGTTATATTTGTTACAGCTAATAAAGTTATTTGTTTATCTCCGGCTTAGATAAGAGAAAAAGGTCTGTAATAAATAATGGCCCATCCCTGTTTTTTAGTTTTCTATTTTAAAAAAAATTGTCGATGACATGAGGGGGGGGGGGTAATAAGATATAGCGGCAACTAATGGCTACTAGTGGGCTATTCAAGGTTATAGCCGGTAGTAACAACAAAACACAAGTTGTTATGATAACCAGAGCGACAATTGTTTTCTCCAGTGATATACTACCGATTATTCATGTTCATGATGATTATGATTTATGTCACACTCAAGTCAAATGGGAAAGGAAGGGAGGGATAGGCGAAGAAGAGAGAAACGTAGAAACGAAGTGAAAAAGGCAAACGTTAATTATAGGTGGGAATAGCGACGAATGTCTTCTCAGCAGAAAAAAAAAAGATTATATCAAGTCACTTTGAAAACGGTATTTAGACAATCATTTATATTTGGGGTGTTTACTATGAGGAGGAATGGATTTATTAGCTCTTCTGATATTTTCAAATTTTTTTTTTTTTTTATTTCTGGCCCAAACAGCCGTTTGCGAAGTTGCTTAGCAAAAGGCACGCATGGCCGGGCTTGATTTTGAATTCGACTTGGAGCAGAGGGTAGTACACAGAAGAGGACGGGAGATTTCTATTATCAGTCAATTCGACATTAGTAAAAATATGCACAGAAGAAAAGCAAAAAAAATATTCTAACTAAAAAGAGACAAGCTATATATTCTTATTTAAAAAAAAAAAAAAACACAAAAGGAAAAACGGAGCCAAATTTAAACGATATCTGAAGTAAAGAAAATGAAATCGTTACACACAAGATTATTACACACACACACACACACACACACACACACGTGTGTGTGCGGGTTTTTTTTATTATTTTACGCACTTTGAGCATGGGAAACAGTTTTCCAGTTTCACGATAAAAAAAAATACGTCATCTACCTCATGATGAACCAGATTTTATTTTTATTTAAATGTGGGAAAGTTTGTGAATTCTTTAAACGCGCCGAAGGAAGAAAGCTTAAACGATAAAGAAAATTTAATCGCAAAGTCATTTAAAAGAAATTATTTGTATGCTATGAGCCTTAATAATCGTTAGGGTTGAGAAGAGAGCCGGCGGTCAGTGCATTGGCACTGAAACAAACAACATGGCTGGCTGACTGATCATTTTCATTTAAACCCTCAAGAAGGCAGAATAAAAAAAAAAAAAAAAGCTCAATGGTCAATTTCATATTTTACGTTTGATAGAAAAGAGAAAGTCAGGCACACCAAAAGAGTACAAAACATGAGGAAGCAATAAGAAATTAAATAAATGGACTGACGTACTTAAATTAAAATTTAATGTTGGCTTATGGTGGTTAAATTAATAAAAAAAAGGAATCTCGCTTAGTTTATAAATTCATTAAAGAAAAAAACTGTTAGGCTCAGATAAAGACAGAAGGCGTCCGAAGTGAGAGAAAATGTCTTTATTTTATTTTTTTTTAGAGGTGGGGGAGGCAAAGATGCGTGAACTGGTAACGTTTTAAAAAGTGCACCTGGAATAGACGATTATCATCAATGTTTTTAAAAAAATACTATAAAAATTATTAACATTTTAACAGTTTTTAACCCCCCACCAAAAAAAAAGTTTATGAAAACTGAAAATATACTAATAGTGAGTGGGAGAGGAGAAGGTTAAACTTTTTTTAAATCTAACATCTGGAGCTTTCATGCTTCACACCTCGGATATAGGTAGTTAAAAAAAAACGTTAAACTTATTTCAATATAGATAACTTAGTATGTATTTTACAAAAGTAAATAAATTACTTGTTTCTTTAACTTGTTCCTCTCGAACATTTTTTTTTCTTTTATAAATTTATTCAAACGAAAAGAAAAAAAAAAGTCATAACCGGTCCTACCAACTAAAAACATTTAGAAACGAACCAGATATTTCAATCGATTTGAAAAAGAATTTTATTAATTTAATTAAATAAAATATAGCTGCCAGCTGAAGAGACACAATGACGGAATAGATTGCCATTTTAACTTTTAAAAACAGACTTCGACTTATTAATATAAAAAAAAAAAAAAAAAATACATTTTTTTTCTTTTTAAAAAAAGTGTTTCCCTACGAGAAGACATAAGAGTTGGAATTTGGGTAAAAATGGTATATTTTTCAGAGATAATTTAAAATTAACAAACAGCAACATATGAAGCAAATTGCCCCATTATTAAACGTACTTTTAAAATTTTGATTTTTTTTAAACTGGTGATAATACTCGCAAAAGATCGAAATTTTAAAATAAAGTGAGGGGTAAATTAACTAACAAAAAGGTAGTTTCCTTTTTTAACCGCGCTATATAACTGATCATTCGCAAAAACAAAACACTAGTGATGTGATAAAAATAAGTTAGTGTAACGAAAAACAAAAAAAAAGTAAATGTTGAAGTGCTCTCCCCAACCACAACACTTTTTCTTCTTACCTCGTATGTGACAGGTGGGACATTCTTGATTATTATTTTGCGTTCTTTATTGTAAATCTTCTTTGCTCGAGCGATAAGCTCTTCCTTACTAAGTTCAGTCTCACTAGAGCTGGCGTTAACTCCAACAGCCGGAGCAGCTCCGGTCGTCGCATTATTTTCGCTTTCTCCGGTCGCTTCTTCTGTTTCTCCTTCGGTTTTATCATCGACATTGTCTTCTTCAACCAAAGAACTAGTCGTTGCCGTCACGCTAGAGGATTGTTGCTTCGCGTCCTCGTCGAGCATTTCTTCGTCGACCGGCGTCTTTTCGTTTTCTTCGCTACCCGACTGGGGTGGTGTTGATGAGGTCTGAGCTTGGTTCGAAGCTGCAGCCCGGCCCCTTCTTCCTCTGCCTCCAGCTCCGATCGCCGCCTGACGTTGTCTATGCGCCATCTTGGGACCTATCTGACGCCCAGACGATTTTCAACAAACAGTGATTTGCGCAATGCACATGCGCAGACGGAAGTTAACATCAATTCCACTTCCGGACATTAAATTATTTTTTGGAATTAAAAAAAAATGTTATTTTACTACATTATAAAGTAGCTTAGCTTTAAAACATACACATTTTATAAACTAGCTGATTTTATTAAGAACTCTAACATTCACCCTAAAGACAATTATTAGTTCAAAATTCGTTTTAGAAGCAATCAAAATGCTAACAATTTTTTATATATACTCATACAAAATTGTATTATTTCCTTAATTATAGCTTCCTTTCTGTCTATCCAATTTATTTAATTGTAAGAGAACAGATTTTAAAGCTTTTTAGCAAAATAACATAAACGTAACTGTTATCTCTTTAGCCATTTTTGATCATCATAATTAATTAGTTTATTTGATTTGCATGAAAATAAATAGTTACTGTTGTAGTTACATTAAGTTATTAGATGCTGCACTTAGTAGAGTTTTCTCTTTATTTGACCATAACAGATTGTTCTAAGTAAGAAAACTAATTTAATATTTAACATGACAAACCCCAGGGTAAATTCAAACTAAAAAAAAATAATTTGTACTTAATATAAACACACCAATTAAGCCATTCATAAATAGGTATTCATTTCATTAAAATATTGCAAGCCTCAAGTACAAGGTTTAATAAGGCTCTGACAGATTTTTCCAAACTATAAATACTACTACAAGCCTTAAGCCTGATAAAATGCTAAAATAATTCATGCCCACATCTGCTGAATTTCAATGCTATCATGAAATAATATACAAAAATATTAATTTATTTATATTAACTGGTAAAAGCAACATATGGGTTAATAATTCAGTTCTAAGCTCAAATCAAGGGAATAAAAAATGGGTCATTATTTTTACAAAATAAGTAACTTGTTGTTATTGTTGTATCGCCTTTCAAAATAAAGCACAATCAAATAGATAAAAAAAAATATAATAAAAAAGAAAATGTTGGAATTATGTAAAAATTAATATAAAAATTATTTATAGCAAAAATATAATATTAGAATTGTATGAAAAAGTAAGAATATTAAAAAGTTACTAACATAGTTTCTTTGAAAAGAAAATTACTAAAATAAAGCCAGTCAATTTATATATAAAAAAATTAAAAAAATACAATTTGCAAAAATTGAGCTCTAATTTGAAGTTAAAAAAGACAAAATGTATTAGCAAAATTTTACAAAAGATAGGCTCAACTCTGATGTCAAAACTCATAAAATTTAAGTCGTAAGTAGTCGCAGTTTGATTGGATAATTAATTTTGAGTTTTTAACCAATGGGAATAAAAGGTGTATGCCCCTAAAGGAGTTGATTTGGCCACAGTTGTTTGCTATATAAAGTGGAAATTTTGTCTGTGAAATAAGAAAGAATTCAACAATACTCAGGCAAAAAGAGAGCTGTTATCTAGGAAAGAAAGACTACTACTACTGTTGAAATAGGACAAAGAAGAAGTCTTCAAAATCTGTTTTCACAACAAGGAATGTATTTTCCAAAAACCAGATATCTATCTCATTTGAATGTCTTTTCTAAACCTGTGTTGTTATCTCAAATTTGTGGACATCTGTTTTTAAATCAGAAAATTTTGTCTAAAGGATCCAGAAAACCAGCATCACCTGAAATAGGTCTTTTTTCTTACCTCTTCGACTTTTGATTTTTGAATTTATAACCTTTTCAATGTAAATAAAGTTCTTTTGTTTTAAAAAAAAAATTAATTTGCATGAACTGTTATTCTAAAAAAACGTAAAATTAGTTTGTCGGTAAGAAAATAAAAATTGTTTTTCATGAACAAATTGCACCTGGAGGAAAGGTTGGCGATCATGATGTTTCTGAACTGAGGCTTGCTATTAAATAAAAGAGTAGAAATTATGATGGAATATTTGCATGCAAAAAAGTATTTAATAGCTAACTTGAATGACACTCACATCCAGGCAACAACAAAAAAACAAACTATGAGTTCTCCATATTTAATGCATAAACCATAAATGACATAAGATAAATATTGAACCTGGCCTGACAACCATTCAGTTTTGACGGTGAAACTTTTTCTTCTTCTTTTATCTTACATTTTATAGCCTCTACATTGGATTGAGCACTTTTAATTGCCAACTTTATCATAATTGAGATTTACCAACTTTGATGTGTTTTGTTATCAGACAAATGGCTGGTAGTTGTATGACAAAATGGAAAAAATCTTATGTGACATGTTTTTCCCCCTCAAGAAAACTTTGACTAAATAATGTTTGAGGGGATCATCTATATATATATCAGGATGGAACAAAATACAATTATCCCATCAATAAAGACTGAAGAAGTTGAGCAACAAAAAATGCTATATAGGATTTTTCAATTTTGTCATAAAAGAATATATATGTGCATGTGTGTGTGTATGTGTGTGTGTAGTAACAAATAAAATTAAATGTTCACTTATTTATCCCTATCCTGAGTTTTGCAGTGATTCCATCCATTTGTCAGGGAGCTTGATAGTCAAATTGAATTTTATTATTTTATTAAATAACACAGATATTTTTTCAAGTAGAAAAATAAATTCAAATTTGAAATGACATATCCCGGTATAAATTCAAACTAAAAAGAAAATAATTTGTACTTAATATAATGACCCACATCATATATCCCAAGATCCATTTTACAATCAAGCACCCTGACAAGTAAATGAAACTCCCTGAAAACTCGAAGTAGGAACTCATAAGTAAATATTTAAACATTTAATTTTATTTGTTACTATAAATGCTGCATCTCTTGTTGATATTGAGCATTTCAATTGCTTGTTTTAAGTGAAATTTTTCAGAAATATCCCGGTCAACCATTTTTCTAGCAAAACACTATCTTTATTATTACTGTTGTTATATATATATATATATATATATATATATATATATATATATATATCCCCAAAATATACAGGGTGTCCCAAAAATTTTACTCACTCTTTAAATGACTAATACATACAGTGTTTATTGACTTGCAAACAATGGTTAAAAATGGTTAGAAATATTAATGTTTATTGTCTTTAAAAAATGTTTAAGTGTTTAAATTAAATATTAAGTTAAATTAAATGCATGAATCTGAAAAAAGAAAAAATTCAAGAAGTTATAATAAGTCAAAGAGTGAGTACATTTTTAGGACACCTGTATGTATATATATATATATATATATATATATATATATATATATATATATATTTATATATATCACTCCACAATTTTTGGAGCTGCTTCCATTCCCATACCCAAAACTGGAGCTGGCTACCCTCATGCTCAAAAAAGAGGTCACTCCAGCTCCAACTCCATTAAAAAAAGAGTGTCTCTTTTTCAGTGCTCCATAATTAAAATGTACCTTCTGTCATAAATGTTGGACATTTTTTCAATTAATATGCTGGGTATGAGAAAATTCGGTACTCAAATTTAATAAGAACCAACATTTAGCCTGTCAGCATACCCTTTACCCATAAAAACATACCAAAGTTCTCCCAATATACTTCCTTATAAGGCATATGTCATTGCTTATGGCTGTGTTGAATTTGCGAAATAATTCACACATTTCTAGATATTTGGCCAATTCCTCAATTGATGCAATTCTAGAACTTGTATATTGGTTCAAAATGTCTGCATCTATGTGTTCTGTTTTTTGGACATTTGGAAAGAAGTCATACTCAGACTCCTCATTACTACTTGAGCTTCAACTTGAATTGTCCCTTTTCAGGCTGAACAGTTCTTTCTTCACCTCTTCCAGGATACATGTCTTAATTTCTTGGACATTTAACCAGTCCAAGCTTTTAAATTGCGGGATTAGAAATGCCACCAGAAGGTAATTTCTATGTTGAAATTGTGAAGCAAATCTTTTATTTACCGTAGATAACTCAATTTTACTTATTTAAAAAATATTTTAAAATATTAGAGGAGGTCATAGCCCCTAACACCACCATCCAGAAAGTACAGCCCTGATATTGTTGCAATGGTGCTTGGAAAATTCAGTAACGGAAGATTAGGTAATGGAAAATTCAATAACTAAACAAATTTTCTGTTACTGAATTTTCAAGGCACCAAACATTTGCCATAAAAGTTCAATTTTATGAATTTAGAAAAATTCGGTAAAGGAAAATTCGGTAACGGAAGATTTGGTAATTTTGACAAGGTAGGAAAATTCAGTAACTATTAAATAAAAGTCAATTGAAAATTTGATTTTACAGCTGTTCTGGAGTTGGAATTTGGGGGCTAAGCCCCCCAACTCTATATTTTTATATAACTGAGAATCATGGGATCCAAATAAAACCCCACTACAACAATAGCAAGGCCGTACTTGCAGAAGGGAGTGCTTAGGAGTGTAGACCTGCTTCCCCAATATTTTTTTCAAAAGTATTATTACCTATGGGGTGGTGTAGAAAACCCCTATTGCAACAATAATAGGTCCATAATGTCTGGACCAGGGGTTTTGGGGGCTAATTTATATACGTTAAGTAAATTAGAATTTTATTTCAGGACAAAAAAAAGTATCATTTCAGACTAAGAATCAATTGGATGAATATTGAGAGAAATAGGTGAGAAAATCCAACGGAAGTTATTACCCATAAAGATTTCATTTATTTTTTGATAACTTTCTTTAAATAATAATGATGATGATGATAATGATAATAATAATAATAATAGCAAAATTGTGTACAAAAGTAAACTGTCAGTAAATTTAAAAGAAAACATTAGTTTATCTATTCATTCAGCAATGAAAATTTGTCATAAAAACAAAAAACTTCAAACCTTTCTCCCCCCCCCCGCCGGGCACCAATATCTACAGACAGCTTTTATACTCTCTCTCTCTCTCACCGACACTCACACACACACACACACACACACACATACATATCTAATAAAAAATGACATCAAAGACTTTCTACTGAGTAACTGACTCTTTTGAAGACAT